ACCATTTTGCCCTTTTGGTGATCTGATCAAATTTCTTGTGGAATTGAGATCCAAACTTGACCAAATAGTTCATATGAGTTCATTATGTTGATGTGGGTCAAAAATCATGAGGTTTGACTGTCAATTGGTCACAGTTGACTTTTTCCCCAATACATCTGGTTTCTAGGTCAACTGTCCAATTGACTGGGCAAAGATTGGAATCAAGGCTTGAAACTTGGTATGGATAAACTTGTAAGTCCAACATGAAGCATGAAAGTCACTTTGGGCATTTTAGGTCAAAACATCCCTGTGCAAACTCAAACCCTAATTTGAGTCAACAGTGCAAGGAGGGGTCTTGAGCAGAGCAAACCCTAACTTGATCTTGAGTTCCAAGAGTCTTGTGATGAGAAAATGTTGATGAAATGAGAGGGCAAATTTTGGGGTACAACACCAACAAAACAGTGAAAAAGAAGTTTGTATAGTGGATATCAAATCTGATTGCGAGGGCGACAAAGTGAAAAATACAGATTCATTGATGGCCGCTAATGCTGCTAATGAAGCAAAGGTCCAGAGAAGTGACAAAGAGTCGGCTATTTCATCACGGGCAAAAGACTTAATATTGTCGGTGTTTGCTACTATTCCTAAGATAAAGTCTAGGAACAAGAAATTCCCACTATTGATGCCACTGTGGCCACAAAATCTGATCACAAGAGGACTGCCATTAACAAGAAAATTTTCTATTTCATGTACAACTCAACCTTTATTTTTCATATTATGGGATCCAGGAGGATACATTTTTCCTATGTATTTCTTTCACCTCGAGGACAAGGTGAATCTTAGGGGAGGAGTATTGTTAGACTCTTCAGTTTTGTAACTGATATTAAATTATTAGGAGAGTTAGAGGGTAATATTATAATTATTATATAATTAATTAAGAGTGTTTAGGTTTAGAATAAGTAGGAGAAGATATTAGAGAGATGATCATGGTGGAATTGGATAGGAAAAGGGCCATTTTGGCATTTGGGAGGTGCAGACCCTCGAAGTTATGCAATATTGTTCTATTTTAAAAGGGAGTTTCCCTATTTCTTATTCTATATCAGTTGGTTTCTACATAGTTATTAATCCCGGATAGCGGAGCGGAGCGGCCGACCCCCGGGAATGGGAAAAGTGGGAATAGCGAGATCCCAGATAGCGGGATAACCTTTTATATACTAATAATTATATTATAATAATCTATAAAATATATGTCATATAATACTAAACTAATTTCACAACACTCATAAAATATTTATAAAATCTAATGTCAAACAAAGAACAATGTTTAATCAAGATTCAAAACATAAAGATTCAAATTCAAACTTAGTACTATCATATGAAAATTCAAGCAAACATAGAAATCATGTAGCATCATCAAAATATTCCTCCAATTCTTCATCTTCAACTTCTTCAACATCTTCCTCCAATTCTTCAACTTCTTCAACATCTTCCTCTAACTCTTCATCTTCAACTTCTTCAACATCTTCCACCACTTGTTGTGCCATTGGTGGTGCTCTAGGTGTCATTGTTGCTCTTGATGAAATTGTTTCTATGGGTGCCGTTGTTGCTTGAGAAGTACTTCCAACTTCAAGTTGCCTTGTTGTCCTCCTAGTGTAGATTATAGGTTCATTAGCCCCACTAGCATCGGCAACTTAACTCCAAGTTAAATCATGATTTGGATGAACCAAGTCTTCACCATCATCTCCTACATTTTCCATCTCTCCCACCAACCATTCGGTGTGGAGATTAATTTCGTTAAATTCCATAGGATCAATTTTATCGCGAATTTCAAACCTCTCTATCAAAGCTTGATTATACTTGATAAACACCAAGTCTTGCAATCTTTGATGTTCCAATTTATTTCTCTTCTTGGAATGAATCTAAAATACAATAATTTGAAGTATTAATTTAATAATACTTGCATGTAAGATACTTTAATATCCTAGTAAAAAATTAATACTCACATGCTCAAAGATGCTCCAGTTACGCTCACATCCGGAAGCACTGCAACTCAAACTCAACACTTTAACAGCCAACAATTGCAACTCCGGAGTTTCGGCTCTATAAGACTTCCACCACTCAGCTGCAAGTAATTGTAAAAAATCATTTCATTTCCATATACATAACACAAAGTGTATCATATGTAAAAAATAAAAAAAATCATTTCATCTTACCTGGAGCTAATGTCGACCTTTGTCTAATTGCCGCTCTTATACCAAAGAGACCTGTAGCACCCCTGTATTGTGACAATTGTTCTGAAATCAAATCTTCCACTACATAACTTTCAATAAGTGTCTCAATGCACTTATGGAGGCTTCTCACCAATCTACCATTATTCTCAATTTCTGGTTTAGAATAATAATATTCAGGATTGAGATAGTGACCTACAGAATATAGCGGATGATGAAGTTGACACTCCCATCTTTTATCAATGATTTCAAATACGGCTTCGTACTTGCTTGAATTTGAACTAAAAGCTTTCTCAATTGATTCCTTAGCTACCCCCATTGCGGCATATATGTATCCCATTGCGGGTTTCCTTTCATTATCAACCATTCTTAGCACATCTACAAGAGGCGCCATGCACTTAAGAGTGTAAAGAACATCATTCCAAAATGATATCGTAAGTATAGTAGTAGTTTCCCTTTGTCCTTTAGCATCTTTGGCACACTTGGAACTCGTCCATTCTTCACAAAGGAACATCTCTCTAAGCTTTCCTTTTAGTTCTTGCATCCTTTGTAGACAAAGGAAATGGGTAGCAAACCTTGTCACTCCTTGTTTAACCAATTCAACATTACCCGTAGACTTTCTCATTAGATTCAAAGCAAAAGTATGATTATAAATGTAGCCCACAACCTTAACCCCTTTTTGTATAATCTTTTGAACCTTTGGAATTTTGCCTATGTCTTCTAACATAAGGTCTATACAATGGGCAGCACATGGAGTCCAAAACATGTGAGTCCTCCTCAAACACAATTCTTTATCCACCGCTACATAATTACTTCCATTGTCGGTAATCAATTGAACAACATTTTTTTCATCCATTTCCTCAATAAAAGTGTCCAACAACTCGGCTAGCTTTTCCCCCGTCTTGGCATAGTTAGAAGCATCAACACTTTTCACAAACATGGTCCCCGTCGGACAATTGACCAAAAAATTAATCAATGTTCTACCTTTTCTATCCGTCCAACCATCTGACATAATTGAACATCCATATTTATTCCTTTGCACCTCTTGGTTTTTCAACAAACATTTTGTATATTCCAACTCATTTCGAAGGATTGGAACCCTGAGTTCATGATAACTTGGCGGTTTCAAATGAGGACCATAACTTCCAATGACTTCCAACATCAACTTAAAAGCTCTTGCATTTGCTACGTTAAAAGCAACTCCACACGTATAAAAAAAGCGACCAATATATTGGATGGTTCTTGCCCTTGCTTCTTTATCACACGCATCATTGATGCTTGTGTCCTTACTCTTCTTATACACCAAATCCAACGGTCCCTTAGTCCTCTTGACAGCCATTGAAGAGGTCTCATCACTCGCAACCATCCTCTTTCCGGTTTGAATTCTACGTATTTCCTCAATATCAATGGTATCATCTGCATCTAATTGCACCAAAACCTCTTGTATTCCTTTCTTAATTCTCTCCTTCTCAACCATGTCCGCGCGTAATATAGCCTTAACATCCTCGGGTGTTTTCGTGCAAGAAACTACATCACCGGTAATTGCTAATTGATGCCTTTTGCCTCTACTTATTCCCCCACTGCTAGTTAAATTACAAAAATCACATGTCACCTTCTTCTTGTTATTCAAATCCTTCAAATGATTGTATTTCCATCATATGTCCTTACTATTGGTTGGTTTGAATGTTGGAGCACATGAAGCAACCGACGCAGAATTGGGTGTCGGCGAAGAAGTTGCCATATTTACCCGAAGCCTGGAACGGTGGAAGTGATGTTTGCTAGAACTGGAACGGCGGAAGTGCTGTTTGCTGGAACTGGAACGGTGGAAGTGTTGTTTGCTGGAATTGGAACGGTGGAAGTGTTGCCTTGCTGGAAGCCTGGAACGGTGGAGAAGATGCAGACTGCAGTTGTATGTTGCTGCCTTGCTGGAACTGAAACGGTGGAAGTCGAACAGTGGAGAAAAAGGGCACAAAAACTGGAACGGTGGAAGTTGAAGAGTGGAAAAGAAGCGCACAAAAATTAGGGCAGAAGAAGAAAGTGAGAAACTGTAACGCAGGAAAGAAAATACAATAGCAAATCTGTTTTAAAAAGTATTTTGAATGAGGGGTAAAATAGTAATTTTGGCCAAAAAAAATTAAAAAAAAAAAAATCAGGCCCGAACCGCTCTGCCCAGGAGGCGCCCGCTATCCGCGACCCGGGATAGCAGCGATAGCGCCCGCTATCTTCTCTCCGCCACCGCACCCTTGTGCGCGCGCGGCATGCCTCCGCTCCGCTCTGGAGCGCCGCGATAGCGGCCGCTCCGACTGCTATTAACAACTCTGGGTTTCTATCATAATCATGAATTTCATAAGTTAATTACTCTTCCGTCAGTGAACCAAAAATACTAAATGAAACGATAGAGTAGAGTCTTGATGCGGTAGAATTGAACTCTGATACGATGGTGCAATGGTGGACATGCCAGCAGTAATGGAGCCAGGAATTTTAGGCAGTCTGGGCAAAACTTTTAATCGCAAGTTACATGTGACATAATATATAAATAAATATGCTAATTTTGCCCCTGTTTTTATTAATATTTCCCTTGTTTTTATTAATTTTACCGTTGGTTTTATCTACAAATCGACTATTAGGTTGAGAGGAATACAAAGAAAGTAGAAGCCCGCACTCACTGGGCTATAAAACCGCCCCTGCATGCCAGGTTAGCACCCAACACCCAAGTGAGTAAAAGAATGAGAAATGAAGTGAGTTATTGATTAAAGAGAGAATACATTATTAAGTCTCACATGAGATGCTTTATATATGAATGACGGTTATAGATGTTCCCCACCATTTCAGCATGAAATGCAGGACCGTCTGATGACATCTAATGGTAGTCAACGGTCCCTGGCAGGGATCCAGTGGAAAGCTCTAAAGTAGTACTATCCTGTACCTTCAATGTTTTAGTGGAATGACTTGGACGGATGATTGGACATCACCCTTTTGGACATATGACCTGCCCAGAACAATTACTAATGGTTCTCAAAAGAAAAAGAAACTTCATTTGTAGTTTTTGGATTATAATTTTGTATTTTTCATTTTCAGGAAACCTTGATTACTCTGCAAGGGTTATGCGAGTTGTAACATGGGACAGATCCTTCAGAGAAACACCAACTATGGATGAAGTGAAAGATGATTTCGACTCAGAGAAGCATGAAACTCTTGCTACTGTATTAGACAAGTTGCTAGCATGGGAAAAGAAACTTTATAATCAAGGTGAGAGTTCAGAACAAACTTTACCTACACTTTCTTTAATTTCTTTTGCAGCTGAAATTAGGTAGAAAAATCCACACATTTTGCGCTATGTTATGAATTTTGCAGCTGAATATTGTTTCATAGGCTGCTGAGTTAACAAAATCTGAGTACCAAAGAAAAGTTGCCACTATCAACAAGCTAGAAAAAAAAGGTAAAAACATTGAAACATTGGAGAAAGAAAAAGCAGCTCTCAGTCATTTGGATTCCATTTACATTGTTGATATGCAGTTATTGGACTCAAAATCTCAGAGATAAATCTTTTACGCGATCAACAGTTGTACCAGAAACTTGAACAACTTGTCGATGGGTGAGTTACTATTTTCAATCCGTATTTACAATCGATTTTCAAAGACTAAAAGTGTTTTTTATGCAATACAGGATGGCCACAATGTGGGGAACCATGCATTACCACCATAAGAAGCAGTTAATCATTATGAAATTAGTGAAATCTCTGGATTCTCAATTTCCTACTGAAACAAGTGAACACCATCATGATAGAACATATCAGTTATTGAATGTTATGCAAGAGTTGGCATCACAGTTTGAAAAGTTGATAAACAATCAAAAGGGTTTCATAAAAGCCTTATACAGTTGGTTAAAACTGAATCTTATCCTTATTGAAAATGATATAAAGGAAAAGATTTCTTCACCGGCAATACAAATCCTTCTTCATACTTGGAATGATCATCTAGAGAAGCTTTCTATCGACCTTGCTTGGAAAGGCATATCACATTTTGTTGCTGTGATAGATTCTCTTTGCCAACAGCAAGAAGAAGAGTTGGTTTTAAAGAGAAAATGCGAGGAGATGCAAAAGGAGCTTGCGCGCAAAAGCCGACGAGTTGATCAGTGGGAGTGCAAATACAAGAAAAAGAAAAGATTAGACGAGTTTGATACAAATAGGGAACAAGGTGATGATAGTAATGAACCTGATGAGGTTGTAAAGGAAAAGAGAGTTTTGATTGAATTAGAAAAGAGGTTGGATGAGGCAAAAGTTTCTTTTGAAAGACAGTGCTTACATGTGAGGCAAAAATCTTTGGTGTGTCTCAAAAATAACTTGGCAGAGCTCTTTAGGGCTATGACAGATTTTTCTCTTGAATGTTCTAAAATGTATAGTGAACTAAAGATTGTAGCACATAAATTAAGATCAGCACAAAGTTCATAATGAGAATTGGTTTATGTATTAACTTTTTTGGTATTCATCTATGAAGCACAGATTCTGGCACGGACACCGGTACAAGACACGACGCATACATTCTGACACGATAATTTCAAAAACATATGACACCGCCACCGCTTAATATATAATAATATTTGACATTCACTTGTCTATCTATTATTAAAAGAGTTGGGGATAGATTTATATTAACTAGTCCTAATTACATTAAGTGGCAGTATGCATCAAGGTAGTGTTGGAGATAGAAGAATTCTCCTCAATTTTCATGGTGATCTTTGAGTCCATAGTTCTGTTGTTTAGAAAATTTGAGTACCACACAGATGAAAGTTTAGGTTGCCTCCTCAAAGTTGGATCTTTCAAATCTATGTAATATAAGCCATAACTTGATTCATATCCACCTAGTAACTCAAACACGTCCAAAAAGGACCATACAAAATAACCTTTTATATTCAATCCATTCCTGTCAGTGTGACAAAAAATTAACGGTAAACATATGTTTTCACTTGTATTTGGGTGAATATTAGAAATATTGGTAATGTGTAGTTGAAAATGAAAATAGAGGTACCTCAACATATCGAGTAGGCTCCCTATGTATTCATGCATATACTTCACCCTTGACCAATCATCTAATGATGAATTTCTACGTGTTTGTTGACCTGAGAAATTCAAATATTCAAAGATAGGAGAAGATTGAGAAACAATCTTATTTTCATCCCTATATAAAATGATAGGTAAGCTTCGTAAATGTTTATGTAATGGAGACATACCATTTTCATGTATGTAAATTGGAAATTTTCCATAATCATTCTTCAATGATTGAAGCAGCCCTTCCAAAATCCAGGGTATAACTGGAAACTAAACAAACCAATCAGCAGTAAGTGGAATAGGTTGTAGCATCAATGATCAAAAAATAAAAGGAACTCCAATGCTCATACTCTACTTTTACCTTTTCTGTAGTTGTATCATTTCCAAGTAAGGCTACAAAATAAGATTACAAAAAAACATCAATAGATGAAAGTTCCTCAAAAATAGATGAACAAGGCATTGAATAAAGAGACGCGTATGTGAATTTTACTTGTTTAACCTCAATATATAACTGGTTATGCAATCAAAATTGATGCAGTAAATGACACAAAAATAATCATACGTTTAAGCTCCACGGCCATATCTGATGTGAAGTCTTTATTCCTTTTCTGTAGGCTTTTCGGGTTGTTCTTAACAGAAAATGCATAGTAAAAATTGATTCCAAGGAAGTCAATTGAGTAGGCAATGTCAGGCCTAGTAATTGTGACATACTGCAAAGCACCCACAACAGACCTATACATGTAGGGGTCTGTCAGGGCTGGAGATCCAGCTTTGGTGAGCTTGCAGGAGGACTGCATTGGAGTGGAGACAGGATTATAATCACTCATGTTGGTCTTGTGCAAAAGATCCCTAATATACTTGCCTTGAGTAAGGAGGAGAGAACCATCAGTAGAGTGTTTAACCTCAATGCCAAGAAAGTAGTCTAAGTCTCCGAGATGTTTGAGACTTGAGAGAGACGGCAAGATTAAGTTTAGTAATCATTTCATGGAGAAGAGTCTTGGAGCTACCTGTGATGATAATACATCAACATAGACCAAGATGGTCATACAACTGACAGCTGTCAGTAACTCTAGATACACTAGACTAAGTACTTCTTATGTCTAATAGTTATCAAAGAGCAGCTAGTGGCATTATACCACCGTAGCACCAAAGAGTTTGAACAAACTACTATTTTCCACAGTTTGCGATGTACAACGGAAATTGAACTTTACAAGGTAAATCTAGATTGCAACAGAACCTTGACTCGCTAGTTCATTGATAAGGTTGTTGTAATACTCCAATCCCTTAGGATTTATTGGCCCTTTTCCATCTGATATTAAAATGAAATCAAGGTCAGAATAACAAATAGTTGATGCAAGAAGCTATAAATTAATAGATACTCTTTAAAAGATTCATTGAGTAAACCAGAATCAAACCAAATTCATTCAGCTTATGAAATTACTTTAGAAATTAGTCTTAATTCTGAGGATAGAATAATTACTTCTCTTCTCTTACTCCATGATCACATACAAGGATATATCATATTTGTAATCTTTAGTGGATCATACCTGGAATAAGTCTTGACCCTGATATAGAAAATCTGTAGACATCTAAGCCCATTTTAGCCATGAGTTTGACATCATCCTGCATGAAATGAAAGTATATGTAAACCAATATTAATATACAAATAAATAATTAGAGGGTCTTCTTTGGTACAAATTATTTCTTACGTCAGGAATATTAACTTAAAACCAGTGCTTGGATTTGTCAAAGATAAGAAAATTGATATATTCCAAGGTGGAATATATAAGATGTTTCTAGTGGATACCTTATATTTGTGATATTGATCGCATGCAATGTCACCGTCTCCCTTATATTGCCCTCCTGTAAATTTAATTGAAATGAAGAATTTCATTGTTGTAACTATGACTTTTATAACATGGTTAATTGAAATTGTAAAACGAATTCTTCTATAACATCAACTTAAATTGAAAATAGAAAGAGGTTTTATGTCAATTGATGCATTTGCAGGGGAATGATAACATAAATATAATTTCTCAACACCAAACCTTGGACTACCTGCAACTCTCAGAATCAATGTTTTATTTTTCTCTACCTTGAGATTCTATAGCTATAGCTTGAGATTCTTATTTTCTGGATATGATAATTTTTCTGTTACTACATGAATAACAATACGATATTTTACGTGTCAACTCAGTGGTAAGAGTTTGATTTTTATTAGACAAAGACACCCTATGAATGTTCAAGGAAACAAATATGAAGCATACATGTAAAAGAGATAAATAAGAAAGAGCACCAATGCCAGCATGTGCAAAGGTATCCCATATACTTGGCTTCCTTCCATCTTCATTTGCTGCACCTTCAGCCTTTCATATCATTCCAATCCCAAAATAAAATAAAATAAAACAGCTTTAGAATAAAAAATTAGTATTGAATGAATTGATCAAACACAAGGCATGCAAAAAAAAAAAAAAGCCTGATAAGCAGAAGTTGAAGCACCAAACAAAAAGTGAGGAGGGAAATCACTTTTGGTCAGTGCATTAGCAACAGAAGAAACTATTGCTGCTACCAATAAAACTGCACCTAACAAATTCATCATCACTGCAAAGGAATTAGATTTCATCAACATTATTAACAACAAACTTTTTAGTATTGTGTTTTTGAACATATACTATAAAGCATGAGTGTTAACAATGATTATACTATAATTAGGTCGGCAAGTTTATCTTTTTTCCTTCTTTTTTTGGTAAATTGTCATGTGTAGGGTCTAGATATCATCTATGCACTTTGTGTTGTCCATTCATTTCACCAATAAATACATTCATTATCTCTCTACAAATAATAAATACATTCATTATCTCTCTACAAATATAAGTATTTATGACTCATTATACCTGTTTTTATTCATATTCATATGGCCATTTTTGACTTTTGACTCCGAAGAACGATTCACTGATCAAATTTTGTTTCTATCAAAAATTGAATTCGGATAGTACCTAAACAATTCGTCTTTAGTTAAAGTTTCTTTCTCACCAGAGTTCAAATATTTGATTATGTTATAGTTATACAACTCATATACATTTTATTTCATTAATAAAAATAAATACTTTATATTATTTATGACAAAATAGTTTTTGATAAATTAAATGTTAATAATGATATTATATTTTATTTAAGTTGCTTCTATAGTTTTTATGTTACCTGATATATCACATTAAATTAAATTAAAAAATAAATAATGGATTTTTTTTTTAAAAACTCGACTAAACACTCTCTAGTACCCTTAAATTTATATCTTCATTCAACAAAATAATGATATTAAATTTCATGTTATATTATAATAATATTACCAAAAAAATTAAAAATTGAAAATTAAAAACATCAATACCAACCAAAACTCATAATACCAAAGAACTTACCTCTTATAATTAACATACCTGAATAAACTTATTATAAATCATTCAAAAACAAAATTCATTAATAATACTTACTAGATGAAAATTCATAATAATTAATATTATCAATTTATAACTAATTAACGAAAAAAATGTTAAAAGTTTGGATTCTCTATTCATATGTGAAGCACGAGTATTCCATTTTAGGTAAAATATCGATATCAAATACGTACCGGATATCATGTATAGTACACACCTGATACGCACCGGAATCGTATCAATTTTTTATATTTATTTTTAACCAACCGGTAAACATTTAGTACTCCATATCTAACTTTTTTTAATTTTGTCCGATAATATAATTTGGATATTTTTTTATTGGATAAAAATTAGGCTATTTATTTTATTTATGAATAAAAAAATGAAAGAAAAACAAATTTAATTGTATTGAAACTTCTTTTATATCCAAGTTTTTTCATCTTCTGTAGACAGAAATTTGAGCACATATGAAAAGCCATGTCACACTTTGTTGATGTGATAGATTCTCTTTACCAACAACATGAAGAAGAGTTGGTTTTGAACAAAAAATGCGAGGAGATGCAAAAGGAGCTTGCGCGCAAAAACCGACGATTTGATCCGGGGGAGTGCAAATACAAGAAAAAGAATAGACTAGATGAGTTTGATACATAGGGAACAAGGTGATGATAGTAATGAACCTGATGAGGTTGAAAAGGAAAGAGAGAGTTTTGATTGAATTAGAAAAGAGGTTGGATGAGGAAAAAGTTTCTTCTGAAAGACAGTGCTTACATGTGAGGCAAAAATCTTTGGTGTGTCTCAAATATAACTTGGCATAGCTCTTTAGGGCTATGACAGATTTTTCTCTTGAATGTTCTAAAATGTACATTGAATTAAGGATTGTAGCACATAAATTAAGATCAGCAGAAAGTTGATAATGAGAATTGGTTTTTGTATTAACTTTTTGGTATTTATCTATAAAGTACAGATTTTGACACGGACACCAGGACACAATACGTTATTGATAATTTCAAGAACATATGATACTGACACCATTTAGTCTATAATAGTATTTGACATTCACTTATCCATCTAGTCCTAATTACATTAAGCGGCAGTACGCATCAAGGGAGTGTTGGAGATAGATGAACTTTTCTCAATTTTCATGGTGATCTTTGAGTCCATAGTTTTGTTGTTTAGAAAATTTGAATACCACACAGATGAAAGTTTAGGTTGCCTCCTCAAAGTTGGATCTTTCAAATCTATGTAATATAAGCCATAACTTGCTTCATATCCACCTAGTAACTCAAAGACATCCAAAAAAGACCATACAAAGTAACCTTTTATATTCAATCCATTCCTGTCAATGTGACAAAACAAAACAGTAAAAATATGTCTTTACTAATATTTATTAGTGGAACAAAAATAAAAATAACTCCATTGGCTTTCATGGAAAAATAACTCCATTGAGTTTCTTAATGGATGCAAATATAAAAAATAGAGCAGAGTGGAATAGAACTAAAGGTGACCCTAAAAAGCACCCCAACAAATTCTATCGGTAGACTTCTTAAACTTACTATAGCACGAATGTTAACATGCTACAAGTAAAATTCAAGAGGTCCATGTTAGACATAATTTTTGGGTGAATATTAGGAATTTGGTAATGTATACTTGAAAATGAAAATAGAGGTACCTCAACATATTTTGTAGGCTCCCTATGTATTCATGCATAGACTTCACCCTTGACCAATCATCTAATGATGAATTTCTACGTGTTTGTTGACCTGAAAAATTCAAAGATTCATTGCAGCTTTTGAAGATTTTGATGATGTTGATAAAAGTTCAAGTAAACATAGACTAGATTGGGCCGAACTTAATAAAGTAACATTAATAGTTATTTTATAACATTATCCGTACCAACCTCTTACGGGAGATGATTGAGAAATTATCTTATATTTATGCCTGTATAAAAGGACATGAAAGCATTCAAAAAGTTTATGTAATGGACAATACCATTTTCATGAATGTAAATTGGAAAATTGCCATAATCATTCTTCAATGATTGAAGAAGCCCTTCCAAAATCCAGGGTATAACTGGAACCTAAACAAACCAATCAGCAGTAAGTGGAATAGGTGGTAGCTTCAATGATAAAAAAATAAGAGGAACTTCAAAGTTCATACTCTACTTTTACCTCATCTGTAGTTGTATCATTTCCGGTGTATACTACAAATAGGAGTAAAAAAATCATTAATAGATGAAAGTTCCTCAAAAATAGATGAAAGAGGCACATAATAAAGAGATGCTTATGTAATCAAAATTGTGCAGTAAGTAACACAAATAATTATACATTTAGCTTCCACGGCCATATCTGCTGTGTAATCTCTATCCTTTTTCTGCAGGCTTTTCGGGTTGTTCTTAACAGAAAATGCATAGTAAAAATTGATTCCAAGGAAGTCAATTGAGCCCTTAACCAAATTTGATTCCCTGGTGGTGAAGTAAGGAAGCCTTGAGCCAGCATTCTTTTTCATGGAGTCAGGATACTCTCCGAAAATGAAGGGATTCAGAAACCTGTCAAAACAAAGAAAAGATAAAATTAAGTCTAATAATTCATTATTTTAGAGATAGACATCACAATAAAATTGCTACTTACCACCCAATATAAAAATCTCGGGCTCTTTGAGCGGCAATTATGTCTTGACTAGTGTTTGTTAGTGGAACAAAACCAAAAACAAGAAGATTAAAACCAATAAATCCCGTTTGCTTGGCCTGCAAGTTACCATAGGTAGCATTTATAAAGAAAAGATATGTTGATTATCATAGTGAGAATGATATCATAATAACCCAATGTTATCAAATAGTGGCGGCTATAGCCTATAGAACGCAATAACGTTATAACATATCAGAATATAAACAAATTGATATAGTTATTTGATATAATCTTTAGTACAAAATGTTACTAAATATAAATTGTAGCAATAGTATAGTATTGCAACATTGTAGCATAGTAGAATTTAAACAAGTTACTCTTTTCTGCAATTGACAACACTGTAATTAGGTTACCAAATTTGAAAAGCTTTAGATGAATGACAAGTAGTGCATGTGGCGTACATTGGTTTACCTTGTACTTCGTTCTATACAGTTTTGCAGCTGATGCATGTGCTAACAACATATGATGAGTTACCAAGTATGGTTCTGTTGAAGAATTGCCTTTGGAGCAGTTAACTTTAGAGGAAGACGAACACCTTTGAGGTGGTAATAATCCTTCACTATAGCCTCCAATTGAACACACATTTCCTTCATTCACTGTAGTCCAATGTTTAACTCTATCTCCAAACTCTTTAAAGCATACATCAGCATATGCTGTGAAGTCTTTTCTGCACGAAAACATAAATAATTTTGAAATGTTAGTTAGAGAAAGATTGATTTTCTTATTGTGTTAGTTTGGGAACCATACATAATTTTTCGGCTAACCCATCCTCCATATTCATCTTCAAGTGCTTGTGGTAGATCCCAATGATACATTGTAACATGTGGTTGGATTCCTACAAAAGAAGGAGGAAACGAATAACTATTTAATTCTGAAGAACTTCTTTTTTAGTAATTATAAATTAGAGTCGTCAAATAGTAGTTATAGAATGTGAACAAAATGTGTTTGTGCCTCGATACTCCATTTAGCATAGTGTTGTCAAATAGCAGCTAGAGTAGCATTACAACACTGTAGCACATAAGAGTTTGAACAAACTACGATTCCACAATTTGCGACTTACAACGGAAATTGAACTTTACAAGGTAAATCTAGTTTGCAAAAGTACCTTGGCTCACTAGTTCATTGATAAGGTTGTTGTAATACTCCAATCCCTCAGGATTTATTGGCCCTTTTCCATCTGGTATTAGAATGAAATCAAGGTCAGAATGTCAAACAGTTGATGCAAGAAGCTATAAATTTATCGACACTTTTTAAGATGATCATTGAGTAAACCAGAATCAAGCGAAGTACAATCAGATTTTGACATTATTTTAGAAATTAGTCTTGATTCGGATGCTAGAATAATTACTTCTCTTACTCCATGATCATATATAAGGATATATTATTTGTAACCTTTAGTGGATGATACCTGAAAAAAGTCTTGACCATGATATGGAAAATCTGTAGGCATCTAAGCCCATTTTAGCCATGAGTTTGACATCATCCTGCATGAAATGAAAGCGTATGAAACTTAAAACCAGTTTTGATATGTCAAAGATGAGTATAAAGATGTTTCTGGTGCATACCTTATATTTGTGATATTGATCACATGCAATGTCACCATCTCCCTTGTATAGTCCACCTATAAATTTAATTGAAATGAAGAATTTCATTATTGTAAACACAGTATGAAGCCTATATGTAAAAGAGATAAATAAGAAAGAGCACCATTGCCAGCATGTGCAAAGGTATCCCATATGCTTGGCTTCCTGCCATCTTCTTTTGCTGCACCTTCAACCTTTCATATCATCCAAAATCCAAAATAGAAAAGTAGCTTTAGAATCAAAGTACAGGAGGATAACCCCTTTGTGTGTGTGTGTGGTGTAGCATGTGGGAACTGTTAGAATGAGTTGAAGTTTGTTAAAGGCAGATGCAAGTTGTATAAATTGTATATGCTAGCTACACTCATAATATTGTATAAATTTAGAGAGCTAATTTAGAGTTTATAATTTAAGTGAAATTTAGGTTGGATAACGGAGAAAACAATATGAGGAAGTGTGCATTAGGAGGCTCGTTCTGCAATGAAACACCTATAGTTTGCTGATGCAACAAACTCAAACTCAAACTCAAACTCAAGATCAAACACATGGCGTGCAAAAGCAAGGTTCACAAAAACCTAAATTACCTACTACCTCTATAATCAATTTTGACTCTTTAATAGTGAATTGATATGAGAGAAAGAGATGAACCTGATAAGCAGAAGTTGAAGCACCAAACAAGAAGTGAGCAGGGAAATCACTTTTGGTCAGTGCATTAGCAACACAAGAAACTAGTGCTGCCACCAGTAAAACTGCACCTAACAAATTCATCATCACTGCAAAGGAATTTGATTTCATCAACATTATTAACAATTAACTCTTACTATTGTGTGTTTGGAATATATACAACACCGATTTTATATTATAAATAAATTCCACTTCTTAAATTTATTAAATAATTAATATATCAGATTAAATAATTTGTTTATAATAGGAGAGCATACCCTACTTTAAGTAGGTGGGCAAGTTTATATATTTTCTTTCTATTTTTTAATTAGATTTTGTTTCTATTTTTGGTAAAAGGTCGGTAACGTTTCTTTAAAAACAAAAATGTTGCGTAATAAATGGTCATGTGTAGGAGAAACTTCAACATGTCTTTTCAGCCGTCGGGTCTAGATATCATCTATGCACATATTTATTTCACCATAAATAAATGTACATATGCCCCACTTTTGACTTTGGATTCCCTTTGTCTCTCATTAGCGGTGTAAACGTATTCTAAGGGTATTTTCGATTTAAATTAATTTTGGAATTTAGAATTTATTTGATTGAAAAAATATTTATTTTTCAATTCAATTTTGAATTATTTCTTAAAGGCATTCAACTTCAATTTCAATTTTACGTAGTTTAAATTTGGTTGGTTTTTGAATATTTAAATTATAAATTATATTTTTATTAGTATTATAAAATTTTGAGATAATAGCTGATCTGACCTGATCAGAAATGGACCGTCACGGCTGGCTCCGAGCAGAAAGCTTTTTTGAACGAGGTGGGGGGTACCTGCAAGGCACTCCGATGCTGAAGTAAGTAGGAGTACGAGCGGATAATAGCAAGTGTAAGGTTAGAATGATGAATACCTGACCCTCTGGAAACAGAGGGTATTTATAGCCCCCAGCGCTGGGCCAAGGTTCCTTCATTGGGCCGGGCAGGTTTGGCCCAATGGAGGAACTGTCAGGTTCTACGTGGGTAGTGGGGACCCGCACGTGGTCCCCTTCCTGGATGTTCTGCGTGAAGTGCGGGCGGACGGAGACGCGGTCTTTTCGGAGTATCGTTGGGGGGAACAGTGGACTGAGTCTGCCCTAGCTGGGGTGCTCGAGGTAACGTCGAGCTGGACCTCAGGATGTGGTGCTGGACCACATCATGTCGAGCTGGAGGTGTACTGTCGAGCCAATGACTATGCGTCGGGCACGATCGCACTCTTTGGTCGGCATGGTCATTGTAGGTCCATTTGGGCTGGGCCTTTGCAATGCTTTTGGGCCTGTCGGGCCCAGTCCAGAACAGGAGCCCCCCAAGTCGTGGTTCCTTTGTGAGGAGCCATGGCTTGAACTCAGGTCGTTTCCTCGTCGAGGTCTCGTGCCCGGGACACAGGTGTAGACCGTCGAGGGCCTCCTCGTACTGTGCTCGGCGACATCTTCCGCGGTGGATGCCTGGAGGATCCTCATCGGGCGTGTCTGTCGAGCATACGAGGTATCTTTCGGGAACTGTGTCGCCACCCTATGGGGATAGGTCATCATTGCGTTGGGAGCAGCGCGTCGAGGAGAGAGACTCCGTGGTTGCCCGAGGTGACGTTTGGTATTCCACGTCATCACTATAAATAGGAACCTTGGGCCCCATAACACGTTTCTATTCTCTGTGCTCTCTCTGCTGTTGCTCCTCCAGATTTTTTCCAGTCGCGATCTTCTGTCACATATTCTTCTGCTCCGTAACTAAATCCTACTTTTTTATTCAAGTAAGTGGTTTATCTTCTTCATTTTCCTGTTAAAATGCATGATTTTTGGCGTTTGTGGATGTTTTAGGGACTGTACGCGTGGGATTAGCCCGGAAAACTCGTACTTAGCCCGACATATTCATGCCTAGGATCGGCAAACGCATGTTTGTGGTCGACACATTCATAGTTTTAGGTGATAACCTTCAGCGCTGCCCGGAGTCTTCATGATCCAGGGCGCCTGATTCATGATCGCGCCCGGTATGTTCATGGTCTTGGCCGTGGGCTTCGTGGTATGGCTCGCCATGTTCATACCTTGGGTCGACATGTTGGAGAGTGACCGCGTAGTTGGTTTGAGGAACAACACATCGAGTTTCAGTATGTCGGGGAGACAACCATTCGTGGAAACGGACTATGTGGTCGTGCATGGGACGACGTGATTTGTCGAGCGTATGGCTTCGTGCCCCAATTGACTGGTTTCCCGTGCTCTGCAGGTAACCATGGCGGACGAGTCGAGCTCCTCCGGGCGTCACGATCGTGAAGAACAAAGTGCCGATGAGTCGGTCAACCTGATTGATACTGTGACCGACCCTTTGCTGGATTGGGTGGGCGTCGAGCCCCGAGGCATCGCGTCGATCTACAGCCGGGACGACCGAAATCCATATGCCGTCATCGAGGCGGGCCAGGACCAGCCCAACTTCCAAAAGAACTTCGTAGTCATGCGCCCGTCCTCCCGTTCAAGGATCTGCTCGGTTTATCCGGAATATAGCTTCGCGATGTACGAGATCGCGTTCAAAGATCTAGGGCTGCGGCTGCCCTTCACAGATTTCCAGGTCGGGGTCTTCACTCACCTGGAGTTGGCCCCGTCCCAGCTACATCCAAACTCGCTCGCCTTCATCCGGGCGTTTGAGCTGACGTGTCGCTATCTGAGGATCGGGGCGACCATACCGCTCTTCTTCCGGGTTTTTCACCTGCAGCGCCAGTCTCGAGGCGGGAAACATAGCTGGGTCTCCTTGAAGCAGTCGAGGAGACTCTTCAAAATGTATATGGACTCCGTAAGGGGTTTCAAAGACAAGTGGTATGTTGTTCGGCCAGTTACCACCTCGGCTTTGGGATCCATGTACGAGGAGGAGGAGCCCCTGTGCGATGATGACGGGGAGGCGGTCTTTGGCGATAGTGGGAGCCCTGTGATGGCCCGTACGGCTAAGTTTCCAGTGCACTGGATGTTCAGGCACTATGAGCATGGGACCGGTTACTACCACACTGCTGCCGGGGACATGTGCTCGAAAGACGAGGAGACGTATGCCACTCTTTGCCGGTTTGTCGATAGCTTCCACCCTGCTCGGTGGGCTACGAGGGAAGGGGACGATATCCTGGACAAAGATGGTTACCCAACGTTTGAGTCCCGGCCGATTGATACCAAGGCGCTCGTGGAGTGCCAGACGTACAGGCAGGCTGCCCGTCTGTTAGGTTGTTTATTGCTCGAATATGTTTGCTCGTCATTTGTTTATGAGCTTGCTTCGATACTAACCCATTTTTTATCTTGTGCAGGTTCGATGGCCAGTCGACATGAGAGGCTTTTGAAATTGTCCTGCGACCAGAGGCGAGGCAGGAGGGTCGTCAAGGCCCCACAGGCGACGAGGATGGGTCCGCCACACAGTCCAAGTGCTCCTCAGCCGGTGAGGGCGGACTCGCCGCCAAGCTCGGGGGCCGCGTCGAATGGGACCCCAGAAGTTGAAGAGGTTGACCCTAGTACCGTCTTGATTCAGAGGAAGAGGACCCGCGTGGAAAGTGGTCTGACTGTTGGCGAGGACGCCAGTGCCGTTAGGTCTTTCGCGTTCCCCCCTTGCTTCAAAGAGGAGGGCTTCTTCGAGAGATTCCCTCTGACAGTAGTTGCCGACGAGGCTGAAGCTATCAAGAGGATGAGCAAAGAGGATCGGAAGACGTATCTGGCCGCCAGCATGGACGGGCTGGTGAAAATGGCCGAGATGGCCTTGGTGTTATCCGAGGAAGGAGGGGATCCCGCCCGCATGAAAGAACTCAAGCAGGAGAAGGCGGCCCTTACCTCGAGCTCGCGGAAGCTGAAGACCGCTCTGGAACGCTCCGCGGAGATGTTTCGCGAGCAGACGGCGATGCTGGATGCCGAGAGGGAGATGTTGACCCTGGAGAAGGAAAAGTCGGGGAAGTTGGCCGAGGAGGGGGAGCTTCTCCGGGCAGACAGGGATCGTCTGGGGGCCGAAGTCGAACGCTTGGCCCAGCAGATCGAGGAAATGAGCGCTGCCATGCAACCTGCTGAGGACGAGCCGGAGTACCTTGTAGTTTTGAAGAATCGGTTGGAGCTGGTCGCCCATATCCTGCTCCTCGAGGCAGATTGTGTCGGTGCCCTGGAGGATGGGTTCAACTCTGCAGTCGGTCAACTCTCCTTGTTAAACCCTGGTCTGGTCACTGAGGGTATCGGCCACACACATCAGATCGTGGATGGCGTGATCGTTCCTCCGCCCGACTCTCCCTTCGTCGACATTGATGGTTCTGGGGAAACTGACTAGGATAGCGGGCCTGCGTGCCTTTGACATTTTGTATTCTTTGGGCCTGCGTGCCCGTCTGTTATACGTTATGAACATCGCCGGCCTTCTTGGTCGGTTTATAATTGTTTTGTCGCCTTCGGGCATTTTTATCTGAATGTTGTTTTACGTTTCAAATGTTTTGCCCTTGCTTGAAATCTTATATATTTGCATAAAATTTTAGCCTAAGTCACGGGCCCGAGGAGTGCCCGTAAGTGGCTTCGATTTGGCGGGCGAGTCTGCCCGCCTTCTGTTTGTATGCGTGTCCGGCCCTCTTTCACTGGCCAGAATCACCTAAGTGTTGTGCTCGAGGGGAGAGACTTCCCTTTGACCCTTTTAGATGGCCCGTCATTCTTGACGACATGTCGGGCATTTGGAGCGAAGTTGCTCGGTCGGGCGTGGAGCCCGGTAGGGACGATTCGCCCTTGGCGTGAACTGCCCATCGCGAGCTGGGTGTTCTGCCTTATGGGTACAACGACGGTGGTGCTCGGCGTAGCTATCCACGTCGGGCACTATCGATCGTCATCGTCTGCCGCGCGATGCTGTGCGATTTGGCCGTATGTCGGGCTTGTACCTTAGCCTTTATACGAAGCAGGACGTTTCTCCTCGTTGACCGGGCGCGGTGCCATTGGTCGAGGGTCCTGGGTGTTTGTTAGTTTTTAACTGTAGTACTGCTTCAGCTTAGTAGCGTTCCAGGGTCGTGGTAACGGCTCTCCGTCTAGTTGCTCGAGGTAGTACGCCCCGGTACCCGTGGTGCCGTGGACGCGATAAGGTCCTTCCCAGTTTGCGGCCAGCTTCCCTTCGCGGGAATC